TCAAATGGGTTCAAGAATCATCCCAATCCGATCATTGTAGCTCAAGTTATAGCCAAAATACGAAAATGTGTCAAAACTGTCAAAACACACAAAATCCACTAAAAAGTGATAAAAACCTCATTTAATCACTTAAAAGCATTTTTCACCAATTATAGCCAAAATGATTCATATTCTTCCAATAATATAACTAAAGTGACTAAAAATAATATAAAATATCATACAATTATTACGTAAATTAGTCACTTATCAGTATATGAATCCTCTAAAGAGGGGTGCATGTTTTTTGTTACCTTATTTATGTCAGCAATCTACCTAGGCCATTACTAGTTAGAAATTTTCCCCAAATGACTACCATAAACGTAATTAACCACTGGGCCAATGGCTCAGTGGCCACCTGGGAGGGACTTAAGTCCCTCCTTGGGCTGTTGGTGAGGGTTCAAACCTCATCAGCAGCGAAAAAAATCTAAGGGTTATGTCATAGCACTCCCTTGGTCTAGTTGGGTCTGTATACCTACTAGTCCCTACAACAGCCTCTTTAGGCTCCCCTCCCCCTAAATTAGGATAGAGTAGGTTATACAAATGTATCGTTGCTGACAAAAAAAAAAAAAAAAAAAAAGACTACCATAAACGTAATAAGTTCACCTACTTCAAAATGAAAATAGAGACGGCAGATCTCTAAAAGCAATGATATTGAGCATTCTTGTGCTTGCCTTTTTTTCCCCCATTTTTGGAAAGGATTGAGCTTGGAAACTTGTACAAGTCGTTCCACACATTCTAGATCCAGTATATATATCTATATTTCAGCTGATATTTATGATAGGTTGCACTTTTATCAATTATTTTATTATTAATTTTTTCTATTATTTTATCAAATATGGATTAATTATCAAATTCTACTCATTTTTAAAAATTTGTAATTATTTTAGAGAGTAGAACAAAATACCATAAAAATATATCAATTTAACGATAGTCAGCATAAGAGTTTGAGTAGCACTAGCAGTCAACAAGGTGGGGACTGATTCAACTTTGTTTCCTTGTTGCGTGGAAGATATGCGACAGCCAGGGGCAATTTTGGAAGACTAGACCACTTCTCTTCTTATTGGCAGTTTCCAAAGAGGAGAAAGTCAGAAGAGACTAGGAGTCTGCCTTTTACTCCTTATTGCTAGCCGAATGGGAGTAGCGATTATATAGCAATTAGAGAGAAAAAGTAGCCGTCATTCTTGACCCTTTTTGGCAATTGACTTTTGCATCTTTTATTCTGCTTTTCTATTCCATCGTATGTAGACACTTGGGAGAAAACAATTAGCCAAGTTCCACCGTCTTTTTCATCTAAATTTTGGGACAATGTATGCCGCAAATATCTCTGCAATTTTGCATGGGTTCTCTTCAACAAGAATGAACTAAATTTCTTTTTCTAGTCAAGAAATAACGGACGATTTGGTTCGACATAAATTGTGAGATCTAACTAATTTTAGTTTTTCTATTATTTCATGGTATTCGATTATTATTTGATTGTTCTAAATTAGTGGCAACTGGCATAATCAGGGTTATGTTAGGGAAATATATGAACTAATTTGTAGACAACCCTCATAGCGTGTTGTCTGGTTTGAATAGAGTTTCTCTGTGTCTTAAGGCAATTGTGAAATTTAATTCTATGGTCGTAGTTAGGATTATTTTGCAATTAGGGCAATAACCAACAGTCGTACCTGAGCTATCGATAATTACGGAGAAATTGATTATTATCGTTTGTTTGACAATTATAACTTGTTTATTAGTTTATATGTGGAATATTCTTGCATCGATAATCAATTAGAAGAACTATTTCCGAAGTTGATTTTTGATTAGAGCTGTCTAATACTATTTGAGTTTTTACTTGATTGCTATTTAGTGGTTATTTAATTCTTATTTGACTGCAACATTTGATTAGCATAGCTCATTGTTAATTTCCCTAAAATCCCCCTATAACTTGAACTTTAGTAGAAACGAATTACTCCCAGTCCCTGAGGATACGACCCTACTTGTCCTGTATACAAATTATAGATTTCTCGTGAATAAATTCTGGTATATCAGGTCAAGCAAACTCTTCGGAATCAGGGTGAATCGAGTAACCCATTGCACATCTAGAGTCGCTGCTCCAGTACTAGAATTGACACGAAATTACTTTGTTGGCACTTAGGATTAGAAGTGGCAAAATGGATATATGGTTGATAAATGGTTTTAGTTAAATGGATAGTGGATCAAATTGATCCAATCCAATTAAAACCATTTAATAAATGGATCTAAATGGATGTCATTTAAATGGATAGTGTAAACTATGATCCATCCATTTATCCATTTACTCTCCCAAATCCTAAATTTAAGATCCAAATGCTTTTTTTCAAAAAATACAGATCCCCAAAGTTCTATCCTTAAATCACCTAAAACCTTTTGATAATAACAAATGCTTGTACTACTACTCTATTTCAGTTCTTCATAAAATTAGTTTAGTTCCAAGAAAATTTAACTGCTGTGGTCAATTTAACCTTTCGTCATTACTTTAAATATCATTTTGTAAAGTAATGAACAATTAAGAACTTGGCTATATTTTTATAACTTTTGAATGAATTGAATACGGCTTTACAGTGAAAAGAAGTTTACGTTTCCAATTTTTTGCACTCCTGTTCAAGAGTGATGTCTTGAATAAAAGTGGAGTTCTAATAAAAAATCTTATATTATTTGACAAGTAAAATATTTTCATTACATGTGCACGTAGTACCTAAAAATGTATGAAACTCCTTATTATACCATTGATATACAAGCTACCTTATATTACTTAGTAAATTAGGTGTCTTTTTTTTTTTGGATAGTTGGATTGGGTGATAAGGGGAGAGGGATTGCAAGTATGAAGATTTGGAAGAAAAAAAAAAGGTGTCATTTACATATCTTAACCAATGTTGTGGGGACACTCGTTAGAAAAATTCTTTTTATAAATAAAAGAATTAAAAAAATAAAAATTATTTTGACACTGCATGATGCATTGTCGCTTTTTTTTTACTTAAGAATATAAATGTTTGCAATCATTACTACATGAGAGTTTAATTAAAAAAAAAACAAGAGTAGAGACTAAATTATAATTTTGAAAAGGATGGAAGAAGTCTAGGAACTAGAAGCAAACAAAATGCAATTAATGTTATTGGCAACTTGGCATGTGAGGAAGTTATGAAGGAAAGAATAGGTGGTCCCACAAAATTATTTTGACATATGAGGAAGTTATGAAGAAAAGAATAGATAGTCCCACAAGATTTTATCTCACATTTTTATAAATGTGTTTTCTATTTTTTTAAGTTAAATGGATGTATATGGATAAGATGGATAATCCATCTAAATCCACCAACATAATTGGATTTAAATGGTTATCCATTTAAAACCATCGAATTTATATGGATAATCCAAATCCATTTAAGGTTGATTTATATGGATGGATTGGTGGATATGAATCCATTTTGCCACTTCTACTTAGGATAATTATTATTATTGCACAGACATCGACAACCTGTCAATTTAGCACCAAAAGTTCCATAGACTTAGAGTTTCAAGTCATCATCCTAAAAGATGTACTAGAAAAACTCCTAGCAAAGAGTCTTAAGTGAATCATAAGCATTTGTAAAATCATTCCGGTGCTTAGTTTGCAATCTTTATTTCATCGAGTGACACAATATTTGTTCCCTTACCCGGCCTGATGCCTCCTCTCTTTTGTTCCAGTAAAAAACATTTAAGTATTTCTTTTTATCTTCCTTGTAATTTAATAGTTTTACAAAATCAAATAAACCTAATAATATTTTTCATTGAGTGAGTGATAACCTATTGAAGTACCGAAAAAAAAAAAAAAAAAACCTGTTGAAGTACAAAAAATTTATTAGCTGGAAAACTTCATTCACATGGTATGTATTGCTTATATGTTGAAGGAATAATCAATTAAGTTTTTACCTTTAAAAAATTCAGTTTTTACCTGCCATAAATAAATTATCATTGAGTTTCCACACTTCGCATGTCTGATCTTGTAGAAATAAAAAGTAAAGTTGTTCTAACTTTGAAACTGGATCAAATCATTATATGGTGGACTACAAAACCCCAACAAAATAGCAAGAAAAAAAAACAAACTTTTTTCTATTCTATACGAAAATAAGTACGCCAGAAAGAGGAGGCAAGTCCATTACACACTTCTAACAGTATCATCTACCCTTATACTGTAGATGCTCCATACTCCTAGCATTTAGAATTTTGAACTTTTTCCAAAAAAAAAAAAAAAAAAAATTCTTCAGTGTACTCATGGTTAGCAGGAATAATCGAATATATTAAATCCATCCTTAAAGAACAAATGATGGAAAAACATATACTCCCTCCGTTCCATTGAAACTGTCATACTTTCTATTTTGGTCTGTCCCAAAATGTTTGTCACATACTCAAAATGGAAAACAAAAATTCTCTTGTTTCAATTTTTACCCTTCAAGATTCCCTCATTCTTTACTTTTATTAGTAGGGCCCCTTGATTTTCATTTGCTCTCAACTCAAGTTGCAAGACAGCCGTGAGAAACACACAAGGTTTAAAGTGATGCGTGAGAATCACTCTCTTTTGACGGATTGCATTTCTTGTAAGTAGCTTTGGCCCCACATGTCATTTTTGTCTTCTTGACCACTAATGACCACACGTTCTAGTGGCAAAATCGGAAAATAAATCTGAAACTTAATACTGTGCATAAAACGTTCAGCTCCTAAAGCACGACAAAGTTTTCAGGACAGAGGGAGTATATGTTTTGGCAAATTTATGTCCACAAGAGTCAAGAGATCACCTTTTACCTGGGAACTCATTCAAGCATCATATGCATATTCAAACATCATAACCTAGGACATTATCGTCCAGCAAGGAAACTAATTTGCCATATGACTTATTTAAGCCAAAACATAAACAAATTCATGTACTATTTACTGACAGATTCTACTCGCCTGTTCTTTCACTTGACCTAGGCACTTAGGGATCTTAAAGGGAGAATGTTTTCCACATGATGACAAGAAGCAACATCACCTAACACTGGATCCCCATTCCCGTCTTTCTTAAGCAGGCTAGGCAAATCGATTGTAGGCCTCCTACTCTTTCCTGTTCTCATATCATAAAACTCGTATATCGGTGGCTCCTTTGCATCAACATGGTCATGCCAAATAAAACCAAGCTTGAACCTAATTGCTTTTACCATGACTTCGCCCGTGTTGGTGCTGCCAATCAGTCTATCAACGAAAGGGCCCTCTAAATCCGGATCCTGAAGACATTTCTCATCCTTTAACCAAGCCGGATGATCATCAATGTTCAATGTCCATAAGGTCCAACTGCGGCAAAAATTTTTGATGCAGAGATAACCCACATCTTTTCCAACTTGGATGAGTGAAATGGTACCTCCGGCACTATCAATTTCAGGAGGAGTTTCAATTACTACAAATTTCTCCTGCCCGACATCAAAGTAAAGTAAAGATCTTTTTCCATTCATGACTGCCTTATGTTTCCAGTATATGGCTCCGTTAAAAGAAACGGCACGCATGGTTTCACCATAGTTTGGGCAATGTATCTCCCTCCATGACATAGAGCCGAGTGTGAGAATGTGGCATTCACGTTTGATACCTGCACCTGCATCTCTATGAAAATAAAGCAACTTATACTTGACTGTCACAGGGTCGAATCCTAGGTAAAAACGTGGCCTAAGAATTTCATTATAACGTATTCACGGCAATGTTTCCCCTGTGGAAGGAGCATTGTTTCCCCTGTGGTCACATTAAGCACGTAAAGAAGTTGAAGATTAGAGGCATTGCACAAACAGATTAGGCCATTGACAACACTAGTGCAAGGTACGAAATTGAGCTGGAATTTATGCAGCGGAAGTTGGGTGGAAAGAATTCCATCAGAATTTGTTGGAAAAAGAGCTATTGCTTTGCTATTGCGTCTTAGTGCATAAAACAGTATATAGGAAGCATCAGGCCTGTTATGCGAATGGATATGGTGGCGACGGGCGAAATAAGGATCACAAATTAGGGCGTACCATGACCTGCAGACATTTTTGAATCGCATGAGGGACTTTGCTGGAAGTCCTTTGAGGATATTGGAGGTTATATCATCTGGGATTTGAAGCCCTGAGTCCATTGATTTCTCTCTACTAATCTTGCTGAACAACTTTCGGGTTGTGAACTCTTGCAGTTTCATGCCTCGTTTTCTTTTATCGTTTTCGTAGGGTTCTTCTGGACCAGATACAGGGGACGTTAATTTGCACGATTCTCGTTTGCAAATTGGAATTATACACGGAAAGAAATTATTATTTCTTAGTTACACAATTTTGGTGATAAAAGAAGGATTTTTCTAATGGCTATCTGTTGAGTACTCCTTAGACACCTAAATCACACTTAAATTAAATTACCATGTAAATCCACCCTCACAATTATAATTATTGCATCCCTGATTTCGAACTTTTTTCAAATTAATTATACTTTTTCAAAAAAAAAAAAAAACGAACACATGAGACCCATCTTATTGGCTGCCTATTAGCCAAACTGGTAAAAAAAAATATAGGAAAAAAATCTTAGCCAAATTCCACCCTGCAACCCTTAGCTAATGACTAATTCACAGCTTTCCTCTATTTAAATTGCAACCCTTAGCACACCACTTGGGTCAACAGTTTTCAGTGTTAACAAAAACTAATTCAATCAATTTTTTTGCACTTTTTTTGTACCGATTTTTCTCTAACGATGAAAAAGAAAACTGTGTTAGTCAGTTCACTTTGATGATTTTGGCTTTCTTATTTGAAGATAATACTTGAAAGGAAAAGGATATAGAGGGTTTTCGAGCTTCTGCTAGCTATTGCCCGCGATTGTTTATTTGCTTCTGTAAAGGGCGCTTGGTAATTGCTTGGTCAGTATGTTTCAGCAGCTCTTGCGTCCTACAGTAGGAGTAGCCTTGTTTCTTAGATGCTACGCACGAATTAGGGGCATGCAACCGTTTCTGAAGGTTAAGAGCCATGATTGGTTGGGAAAAAAAAAAAAAAGGACAGAGTATAAGGCTGGGATTAGGTGATGAACATCATTCTTAACGTTATGTTTGCACAAAAATTTGTTTTAAGTTTATTTCCTGTTTCGAAGTGATTTAAATAGCTAAATGGGTGATTCGGAGGAGGAAGTGTAAGTGATAGGTCTCGGGTTCGAGTTTTTCCACTTACATAAAAAAAAAAAAAAGAAACTAAACAATAGGTGTATATTCTGATTAAATGAACAAAATTATTTCAGAATGATTGCACTGGCAATTGTCCCTCCTTCATTCCCAATATGTACTACTACTATGCAGTGTTGTGAGATTTGGAAAATTCAAATTTCAATTTCACTCTCATCCTATAGGTTTCGTATCCTGCTACATGTTGTTTCTCTATTTTTTTTTTTTGGGGGCTACTTTAGGGGCTATGTCATCATATATCATCCTTTCCTGTTACCTTCGGATTGCATTTTTTTGGAATTTGGTTGGATTGCATTTTTTTTTAGAATGTTTGGTAAAAAATAGCATTGTAACACTTTTTTTGATATACATGAGATAAAAAAAAAAGGGTAATTTTGAAAATATATTTAGAATATTTCCAAAAAAAAAAAAAAAAGTCCCCCAAAGAATTTTTTCTAAAAAATTTAGCAATCCAAACAAAGCCTGATTATGTTTTAGTGTGAGTTTCATTCCTTCATATGCTCATATATTCTTTCCCTTTTTTTGGGTTAACTTTTGAGCTAGAACCCTAGAATACAATCTTGTTGATTGCAGTGCGGAAAGTTCCACATATTCCCCTTTGGTTAACTGGGATGAATTAGCATAGTATTTACTAGCTTTATATCTCATGCTATTCATGATTTTTTAAAATAAATTAGGGATTTATGTCCCATACTACTCTGGGATTTGGAGACTTGAACTTAACAACCAACAATCATTGGATAACATCAATCAAAGTTGTTAAAGATTAAAATAATTCAATAACTTTAGAGAATGACACATTTTAATAGACCTTCTAGAATACTGCAGTTTAAAACGTTAAATGTTACCAGCTAAACCTGAATAATAGTTAATTAGCTTAGTTAACCATGTTTGGTCACTGCGCTTGACAGAAGCTTTGATAAAGTCATGTAAGAACTAATGAAAGCCCTCGTAAGCTGGCATGTTGGTTGCTCAGGCATCGAAACAGATAATTTACCCTTCTCCTAAACTTTTTTTGTGTTACCCAAAAAACAAAAACAAAAAAAAAAACATTTGGAAACATAGTGCTTGCACTAAATTTTGAATTTCAATGCAGTCATGGTTGGACACTTGGATTTATTTGGGTAAAAAATTGAGTGCAAGATCGCATAAACAACACTTTATAAGTAATAGCAAAACTAAGTGTGGAAGATGTTTTGATGTTGAGTGATCATAGTTAGGCTATTGAGAATCAAGCGGAGAATGATCCAAATTAGCCCTTATGCTAGAGGTGTCAAAATGGGTGACTTGGACGGGTTTGGGTTGGGTAAAATGGGTAATGGATACAAGTGAGTTAACCCATTTATACCCATTTAATTAGATGGGTATAAATGGGTAAGTCAAATAATGAATTGGGTAACTCAATTACCCATTTATAACCCATTTATTTTAATTTTTTGTAAACTCATTTAAATTCATTTTTGCAAACTAAGTTATCAATTTATAATGCTCTTTGTACCCATCATTAGTTTTAAATATTTACTTATAATGCTCAATAAGTCTAATTACTAATTTTTTTTCCATTTATACTCTATGTCGCAAAATTACATATTATTTAATAATTGAATAATAAGAATAAAAAAATTTGAACTAAGTACTATAAAAGTTAATTTAAAAATAATAAGGCTTATGCCAAGTTTTTAAGTTATGAGAGATAAATTAAGGAACTACAACCTAGAGGAACTTTTTTTTTTTTTCTTTTTGAGTGGCTAGATGAACTTTTAGATGGTAAAGATTTCGTTTAGATAATGAAAACCGAATAATGAATACAAAAGTTTTACAAAGAATATTTGTAGAATGAATTAGATATGTGTGCAGAAAATGTCAACGTTCCCTAGTAGATACACAAATAACATAGCACAAGCAATGAAAACAAAAGTACAATCGGGGGGGGGGGGGGGGGGAGGGATGGGTTGGATGGTACGGGGGGAGGGAGTGTAAGCAAGAGGTCTCGGGTTCGAGTCCTTTTGCTTACACTAAAAAAAAAAAAAAAAAACAACGAAAGTACAATCGCTTAATATTCCATAAAGATTCCAACAAAATTAAGGAAAATCTATATATATATATATATATATATATATATATATATATATATATATATATATATATATATTCTTCATTCTAACATGTAAAGATTGATTGTGTCAAATACTAAAAATGGGATAGAGTACCAAACAATAGAAGGACAAATATATTTTTTTTCTAAGTGGAAAGTTGTTTTGGCTATTCTCACATACGTTACCTTATGAGGAAGATATTATATGTGCGGTATATGCTTGCATTATCATGATTCTTGACTAATAAGTGAATCACCCGTTTTATTGGTCCTTAACAACTGGAATTTTATTTATTCAAATTATCCTGCTCTTGTTTAAAACTCAAGAGTTGGGCTTATGAACTTTTGGAGCCTTCCAAGAGCCTAATGTCTTCACTACTAAAGCGACTACTTAACATGAAATACAAATTTGAAGGAAGACAAAAAAAAAAAAAAAAAAAGCCAAATTGTTCGTACAATTGCAAGTTCTGGATAAAATTCATGAAAATTGACACCATAATAAGCCAGATTCATGCACTGTTGGCTGGGGGAAAAACAATGCTTTGGTTGCAGCAGCAATGTTAGAAAAAACCAAATTCCATTGTACGTAGATACTTCTAGCTAATATTGAGTGTATTCTGATAGTTTTATCAGAGTATTATTTTGCATATATCATAATTATATTTTCAATAATATTTTTATTTCATATATATCATATCAAAAATGATTTTATAGTAATTATTTTAAATAATATTTCAAATAATTTCTTATCCAAACACACTCTCTGCAAGTTCTTCAATGAGTAGCATCATGTATAGTCCCTCAATGACAGGTCGTCAGCCTGTGCAATAATAGTAATAAATATAGAACCTAACTACCACTAAAAGCAGTCAATAATTAATCCTAGGTACTGGAGCAGGGACTCTAGGTGTGCAATGGGTTACTTGATTCACCCTGTTCCCGAAGAGTTTGCTTAACCCGATATACCAGAATTAATTAATTGACAAAAATTACTAAATAGTAGACAGTGGCAAGTAGGGTCGTCTCCTCAGGGACTGGGGATATCTGTCTCTTTTTAAAGTCCAATTGATAAGGGGGAATTTCACCGGAATGAAACTAAAAACAATTAAACAATTTAATTAAAAATGAATAAATCACTAGCACAAGTAAAACAGGAATTAAATCAAGAATAAATAAATTCTAGCCAAGGATGCAACTACTCAGGCACAGTCCATTTATCCGATCATTGATGCAGGAGAGGTTCACTTAATTTATTAATAGGCTAGTTATAGTCTGATGACCAATTTTTCCTTAAATTATTGATAACCAAGGTACGACCGTTGATTACCCCTAATCAGCAAATACTCCTAGGTACGACCATAGGAATTAATTTCCCAATTGCATTAATATTAGAAAAACCTAACCCTAACCAATAACACGCTACGAGGGTTATTTAAATTAGATTGCACGTTCCCCTAATGTGTAAACACACCAGTTGCCACTAATATTATTCAATCAAACAATTACGGATTTAATTGACTAAATTGGCACGAGATTAATAAATCACATTGAACATCGGGCCCTTGACATTCAATTAATAAAATAATCCCATGAAAATACAAGCAGGCAATGTGCAAATATGAATAAATTAAGGAACGCGTGAAAATTAATTAGATCTCACAGATTTTCGGGACTGCGCCGTCGAGTTGACCCTTGACTAGATGGAAGACTTAGCCACGCCGCATAATTAAATCATCACACGAGTTAATAAATTGCGAAGGCATTGTTTTGTACTAAAAAGTAAGGAATGAAGGATGTTTTCCCCGTTGGGGAATATTGTCAAACACCTGGCGTGTGTCAGAGGCCAGTCCTAGGAAAAGAAAGGAAAACTAAAAACTGAACTAAAGCAAAAGAACTAAAAGCTGGCCCCCGGACTGCTTCCGTCCGTTTCCTACTTATAGAGAAACATAAAGGAAGTTGACTCCCAGCTACCTAGTCTGCGGTCCCACCACCATTCGGGAGCAAGCAAAAGATTGCAAGGAAAAAGCTTCTCCTCGTCCGTTTCTCTCAAGAGCCCAATTGAAGAAAAGGCTTTTTTTCCCTCGTGGTCCCCGCTGATGTCCTTCTTGAAAGCCAAAGGAGATTACTCCTCCTTTCTCCCGTAGGACTTGAGCCAATGAAGTACACAAGGTGGGCCCTCAGCCCAATTGTCTTTTGTTCCCTTCCTTTATGGTAGTTTTCTGCTCTGCTCCTGAAATTGATTCCAAATACCAAATGTAAGTAAATATCCGCAATTAACACAATATTTGTCAGGGATAAAAGGGGAAATTAATAATAAAATTGCTAACAAATTATACCCTATCAATTCCCCCCACACCTAAACCATGCTTGCCCTCAAGCATAAGAAAGTGGGCAGACCCCAAAAAGTTGACAGTGGTCATCACTCTAATCTACCACATTGCCAAGAGATTCAAGAGAAAATCATATATCGGGCACTAGTAGTTAAAATCCGAGAAACATCCCCCCAGTTAGCCTCTACCACAAACTCCTGCAATTTCCAAATTAACTAGTCTAAGGAAAAGGAATGACACATAGCATTTATCAGCTAATGGTCCAAATATTCACACAAGTCCCCGTATTGAGTCCATAAACCAGCAAGCTTCCCTAGTATTTATTCTCTTTTTTCTTTTTTTCTTCTTTTTTTTTTCTTTTTTTGTACATAATAGTATTTGACCCAAGGAGACTTAGTCTCTAGCCGCCGGAGTCTTTTTACGCGAACTCCAACATTTTTAGATGACGGAGCCCGGTTACTCAGCTCCTCCCGCTATACAACCACGTACTCATATAAAGTACCACATTTTGACGCGAGAATCGACACTTTTAGGTGCCGAACCCCGGTTACTCAGTAGTAACTCATAGCGGAGTACAGTCCAGATTATTCGCAGCCAAACAAAGCCAAGAACACATAATGACAACACTAAGAACCCAAAAAAATAGGAGCAGCTCGCCTCATTATAGCCAAACATAGAGAACTGGAGTCAATATTGGACCGGTTCACATTAAAATGCCAACAGTCATTCCCTATGCCTAGAAAAATTAACAAAGAGATCACAAGAATCAAGCAGTCCGATATTCACCAAGGAGACATCTCGAATCCAACTACACTAACCCGATACATTATATTTAAAAAGAACTTGGCAGAAGTAGAACTAGAGTTAACAAACCAAAATTTTTCTCTCTTTTTTTTCTTTTTTTCTTTTTAATAGCCACATGAACTAAGAATTAAAACTAGAATTAGTAGTCACAAAGAAAGAAAATAGGCAACTAGAATTAAAACTAAAAAGTAATAAAACTAGAAACTATTAAAAACTAAAAACTACTAAAACTACTAAAAACTAAGAACTAAAACTGAAAACTACAAATTACTAAGAACTAAAAACTACGAAAAACGGAAAACACTAGCACCCCCCCACCTATAGGACACATTGTCCTCAATGTGACAAATGTAAAACAGAAGTGAGAGGGAAAAGGACCAAACTTCCCTGAAACCGGGTCAATGCGGAGGGCGAGGTGGAAACGGAGGTGCAAAGCCTGTATGCATCAGAAACTGCGCCAAATTCTGTGCTATGCCTGCGACATTGGCGTCGACGTTGGTCATTCGGGCCTGCAAATCCTGAACCTGCTCCCGGAGTTGCTGCCATTCAGAAGTCCCACGGCGTGGAGGTGGTGCAGAAGATGACGGCCCAGCAGTGTCCTCGGCCGACTCATGAAAGGAAGAGGGTCCTGGTCGGGGCGTAGGGCGTGCACCCGGAGCTCGAGGTGGTCCCGGAGGGGAAAATTGGTAGGAACCATCGGGCAAGCGCTCGACGACTCCCATCCTCTCTAAGCAATCCACATCCAAGAGCTCCATCTCGAATGCCAAATGTAGGTCATGGTCCTCTAAGTCAAGAACCCCTAGCTCGGTCGCCAAGTGAGTGATAAAGGACCCAAGGATCAGAGGTTTGTTCTTCTTGGTCAGAACCGTCTTGAACTGCGCCGCCAACCAACACCCCAAATTGACCTTGATGTTGTTCTTCATGCTCCAGAGGAAGAAAAACTCGGGGCGAGAGAGTATACCGGAGCTGTCCTTGCGCCCCGAGTAGCTGTAAGCTAAGAATCGCTGAACATAGCGGGCACTAGGGTCCTTAAGAAAGGAACTCCTAGACCGGGAAGGATCGTAGCGCTCCCCATCGACGGACATTTCCTCCCATACATCATGGTAGCGGGAGAGGAATGGCTCTACGTAGTCACAGGCACTCTCACTATACTCCCTCGTCTCAGCATACTCTCGAGTAATGAATCCGAATGCCAAATTAAATTCGGTAATCGAAAAATTAAATTCCCGACCCATCAGAAGGAAGCGAATGACATTAGGTGTCGCGGCGGTGAACCTCGAGGGCAACTCAAACGCAAAGGTAGCATAAAACTCCCGAGTCAGCTCGACAAATGCGGGGCAGAAGATATAGAGATATGGGCGCCACCCGATGGCTGTAAACATCTGCTCGACCTCCTCTCGTATGCCTAGGCCCATCATGCTTAATTTGTCACTAGTCTTACAAGGTATGATACGCCGCTCACAGACTTTGGCATACCTCTGCTGATCCGCAGGTCTAGTGAAGGTCAGGTGCCCTCCAAAGTGAGCTGGGGTATCCACCTGAGCACCTCTACCCCTACCCAAACGGGTTCGGACATTAGAAGAGCACGGTAGGTTGGTAGGTGTATTCACAGGAATAGATGCCTGCGGAGGGGGTTGAGACTGAGAGGTCCTAGACCTAGAGGATGATTTTGGGCGCACCATGTCTTCCCACAGTGAACTCAAACCAACAAGAAGCTTGAACAGGTATAGAAACCAGCAAATGTAACTAGCAAAGGAAACTCAGCAGAACAAAGCAAGAATGTCCAGTAGGAAGCCAATTAATAACAAGCAAAAGAGGCCCAACAAGTAAAAATGTCCAATCAAAGGCTACCCACTTCAAAGTTCAAAACTTCAAAAGTACCCAGCAAGTCAATTCAATAAGCACGTAAGGTTCAAAATTTCCTCCCAATTTAATAAACAATCTCAGCACTGGAGTCCACTGTGAAATCAGATCTGGAAACGGCGAACAGAACACCCAAACAATGGAAATAAATTTTCCCACTCGTAACGAGAAACTCAACTGGCGCAAATAACATCGTAGGCACCCCACAACCACAGAAACAATCCAGGCTTCACCACAGAAATCCAGACTTATAGACAATTTCCAACAACTTACTTGAATTAATGTACTGATTAAAGCGACAAAGGGGAGCCAGGTGGATTCCAAACCTGTCGCACGGGCCGTCGTGGCGAAGGAAAATGATGAGACAGAGGGAGAGACGCGAGGAGAAGTGGTGGTCCGTGGTTCGCGGTGGAGCCCAGGCGTCAGTCGACGGCGGCCGTTGCAGCCGTGGTGGCTGCGAGTGGTTGTGGCGGGGGCACGAAGTGGGCAGCAGTCTACCCGGTATAATGCCGACGTGGGCAGCAGAGGCGGGCGTCGACCGCGGCTGCTGGCGGACAGAGTGAGAGAGAAAGGCGAGAAAACAGCGGACAGGGGAAAAAGCTGCGGCGGTCGTGGCTTTGGGAGGCAGCGGCGTCGGCACAGAGGCTGGGTCGCGGCCGGCTGGGATTGCTGGTGAAGTGGCGGTAGCGGGCAGTGAAGGCGAAGAGAGCTGCAACAGGGGCGGCGGCTGCTCGCCCTTGTTGGAGTGGAAGGCGGCATGCGGCGCTGCCCGACGGGCGGCGATGCGGGCTGGTGGATGTCCGCTCGACGTTGGTGAAGGGCTGTAGTGGTGGCGGCGGCGGCAATCGCGGTGTGCGATTCGAAGCGGCGGCCAAAAGGGGAAAGGAGATCCAGCGGAGAAGGAAGAAAGAAGAGAGAAAGAAAAAAAGGAAAAGAAAGAAAAGAAAAGAAGGAAAAATTTTTTTTTTTTTTTTTTAATATAAAAGAAATTGCTACGGTTAAGAGGAAAATTTTTTCTTCTTCTTGTTTTTTTTTTATCGATTTTTTTTTTTTTTTTATTTATTATTTTTTTATTATTATTTTTTTATTATTTATTTGTTATTATCTGAATAACTGAAATAATAATAATAGTTTTTCTATATTTTTCTCATTCATTTTCTTTTTCATTCTTTTTTTTTTTTATATTTGAATCCTTACCTTTCCCGCGAACGTGACGCGGGCACGTCATGAGGGCAGGAGAGCTCCCAGAAGTTTCAGAATTTCTGATCGTGAGTATCCTGCACATCACCACGCGGGCACGTCATGAGGGCAGGAGAGCTCCCAGAAGTTTCAGAATTTCTGATCGTGAGCATCCTGCACATCACCACGCGGGCACGTCATGAGGGCAGGAGAGCTCCCAGAAGTTTCAGAATTTCTGATCGTGAGTATCCTGCACATCACCACGCGGGCACGTCATGAGGGCAGGAGAGCTCCCAGAAGTTTCAGAATTTCTGATCGTGAGCATCCTGCACATCACCACGCGGGCACGTCATGAGGGCAGGAGAGCTCCCAGAAGTTTCAGAATTTCTGATCGTGAGCATCCTGCACATCACCACGCGGGCACGTCATGACTGAAGGGCACCTATAAATCAGCAAAACGAAAACTAACACCCAAAATCAGTCAAGTTCAAGGGAAACAGATGTAAATGGTGACACGAAACCAACAAACAATTAAAGGAAACAATTGGGTTGCCTCCCAATGAGCGCCTTTCTTTCATGTCTTTGGCTAGACATTGTCCAACCATTTGCTTAAACTAAGCAAGTCGGATCCTCCAAGTGCATCACCTCCACCCGTTCAGTTGGAACCCCTTCATGATACGGCTTGAGACGATGACCATTCACTACAAATTTCTTCTCAGCTTTTAAACTTTGGATCTCGACTGCACCATAATGGAAGACATTAGTCACAACAAAAGGGCCAATCCAACGAGAACGTAATTTACCTGGAAATAACTGCAATTTGGAGTGGTACAGCAGAACTTTTTGCCCACACTCGAATGTCTTCCTTGAGATCTGTTGGTCATGGAAAATTTTATTTTTCTCCTTATAAATTACCGCATTCTCATAAGCTTCATTGCGAATCTCCTCCAACTCCTGTAATTGTAACTTCCTTTGGATTCCGCCCTCCTCAATATCCATATTGCATTGCTTAACCGCCCAAAATGCTTTATGCTCGAACTCTACTGGAAGATGACACGGCTTACCAAATACCAACCTATAGGGAGACATCCCTATAGGTGTCTTGTATGCCGTCCGATAGGCCCAGAGTGCATCTTCCAACCGTTGACTCCAATCTTTTCTATAGGGGCGCACCATTTCTCCAAGATGGACTTTATCTCCCGATTCGACACCTCCGCTTGACCATTGGTCTGAGGGTGATATGACGTTGAGACCCTGTGGAGTACACCATACTTGCGAAATAACGCAGCTACGGTTTTGTTGCAAAAGTGCGTTCCCCTATCACTGACAATAGCTCTTGGCATACCAAATCGCACAAAAATATTAGATCTGATAAAATCTGCAACCACTTTCGAGTCATTAGTTCGAGTGGCCTTAGCCTCCACCCATTTAGACACATAATCAACTGCCAGCAAAATATACAGAAAACCAAATGAAGTAGGAAAAGGGCCCATGAAATCTATACCCCAGACATCAAAAATTTCTACAAAAATCATCGGGACTTGGGGCATATGATCTTTACGGGCTATATTACCTACCCTTTGACAGCGATCACATGACTTGCAAAACACATAGGCATCCTTAAACAATGAGGGCCAATAAAATCCACTTTCTAAAACCTTATGAGCAGTTCTCTTTGGCCCAAAATGACCTTCACAGGCAAAAGTATGACAAAAACTAGAATTGATTGAAATTCCATTTCACTTACACATCTCCTCATGACTTGATCTGCACACCTCTTCCATAGGTACGGGTCGTCCCAGATAAAATACTTTACATCGCTCTTCAACTTATCCCTCTTCGATTTCGGCCAACCTGCAGGAAAATTACCAGTTACTAAATAATTGACCAAATCCGCATACCAAGGCAACTGAGAATTTAAGGAAAATAGGTGTTCTTCGGGGAATGCATCCTTCAATGGCTCGCTATCCTCTTCAACTAGTATGCGACTCAAATGGTCCGCTACTAGATTTTCTGAGCCTTTTTTGTCCCTTATCTCCAAGTCAAATTCCTGTAGGAGCAGTATCCACCGTATGAGCCTCGGTTTTGCATCTTTCTTGGTCATCAGGTACCTCAATGCTGCATGATCAGAAAATACAATCACTTTAGCACCTAACAAGTATGACCTAAATTTTTCCAAAGCAAAAATAACTGCAAGAATCTCCTTCTCAGTGGTAGAATAATTCAACTGGGCTCCATTCAAGGCTCGGGATGCGTAATAGATGACATGAGCCGCCTTCCCTATTCTTTGCCCCAGTACAGCCCCAACAGCATAATCACTGGCATCGCACATGATCTCAAATGGCAAATTCCAATCGGGGGGTTGGATGATTGGGGGTGAAGTCAACAATTCCTTCAGCTTGTTAAAGGCTCTCTCACACTTATCATCAAACTCGAAGGCTACATCTTTTTGTAGGAGTTGGAACAACGGGGCTCCAATTTTTGAAAAATCCTTGATGAACCTTCGATAAAAACCTGCATGTCCAAGAAAAGAGCGCACCTCCCGCACACTCGCGGGGTAAGGCAATGCAGAAATAATGTCTATTTTAGCCTTGTCAACTTCTATGCCCTTAGACGACACAATATGACCCAGGACTATCCCGTGCTCAACCATAAAATGACATTTTTCCCAATTAAGCACAAGATTAGTCTCTATACACCTTATCAGGATCAATTTCAGGTTATCTAGACACGTATCAAAGCTATCTCCATACACACTGAAATCATCCATGAAAACTTCTATTATTTTCTCAACATACTCAGAAAAGATGCTTACCATACATCTTTGGAAAGTCGCGGGTGCGTTGCACAATCCAAATGGCATTCGTCTATAGGCGAAGGTCCCGAACGGGCACGTGAAGGTTGTCTTCTCTTGATCCTCCGGGGCAATTGCTATCTGAAAGTATCCTGAAAATCCATCCAAAAAGCAATAATAAGCTCTATCAGCTAAACGTTCAACCATCTGATCAATGAAAGGGAGAGGGAAATGATCCTTTTTGGTGACGGCGTTTAGCCTACGGTAGTCTATGCATTGCCTCCATCCAGTGGGCTTACGCACTGGAACAAGCTCACCCGTTTGGTTGGCCTCCACCGTCACTCCTGCCTTCTTTGGGACTACCTGGACCGGGCTCACCCAAGGGCTATCAGAGATTGTAAAAATAATCCCCACATCCAACAATTTTAAAATTTCTTTCTTCACAACTTCCATCATGAGGGGATTGAGCCTTCTTTGAGCCTGCCTAACAGGTTTGGCATCGTCCTCTAGCCTAATCCGGTGCATACAGATGGCAGGGCTGATCCCCTTAATGTCTGCGATTGTCCAGCTTATCGCCTCTTTATGCTCCCGAAGAACCCGGATCAATTTCTCTTCCTGGATTTTTGACAGTGCCGATGAGATAATCACCGGGAGTGTCTCATTATCACCCAAATATGCATATTTCAGATGCTCTGGTAGGGGTTTCAACTCCAATTCCGGTGCCTGCACCACAGATGGCAATACCCTCTGGTGAGGTTCAGGAATAAAAATAGGTGATGCTTCATACCTTTTTGTGGTGGTCGGCAATGAGTGTAATGCACCTATTGTGCATTTTAGATCCTCGCTCCACTCCACCTCAGGAGTTGTCTCCAACTCGAGGTGCTTTGTTAAAGCCACCTCTAACTCATCCCTGCCAACAGTTTCAAACACTTCCTGCACTACAGGGTCAATAGCACTCACAGAGAAAACTGAGCTAAAGTTGGAGTTTGAGGGATATTTCATAGTATCAAAGATATTGAAATGCACAATTTCCCCATCAAACTCCATGGACAGAATACCCTTATTAACATCAATTTTCGTCTGTGCTGTGCTCATAAAAGGTCTACCCAATAACAGAGGTGAGGGATCAGGGGAGTGATCATCATCCATATCAAGTACATAAAAATCAGCTGGAAACACCAAATCATTAACTTTTACCAACACATCTTCAACCAACCCATCAGGATATGCATTAGTTCGGTCAGCTAATTGAATGATTATTCCAGTTTCTTTTAATGGACCTAATTTTAGAGAAGTATAGATAGACTTAGGCATGACATTTATTGATGCTCCCAGATCCAACATGGCCCTTCTGATCACAGTATTACCTATCTTACAGGGAATAGTAAACATACCTGGGTCCCCGCACTTGGGTGGGAGCTTTCTCTGCAGGACCGCAGACACATTTTCCCCAACTATGACCCGTTCATCTCCCTTCAATCGCCTTCGGTTTACACACAAGTCCCTTAGGAACTTGGCATATTTTGGTACTTGTTTGATGGCGTCCAAGAGGGGGATATTTATCTCAACCTTGCGAAAAACCTCCAAGATCTCCTTCTCCTTATCCTGCTTCTTCGATTTTTCCAACCTGCTAGGGAAAGGAAGTGGGTTAGTTTTAACTGCAATTATTGGGTCAGGGAGTACCTTTGGATCTGCACCATTTCTGCCCTCCCTTCCAAGCTCATTTTCGATTTTCTCTTCATCCTTGTCCTTGGGAATCACAGGTTCAGGCCCCTGAATTTCTTTTCCACTCCTTAGGGTCATTGCGCTCACGTTCTTCGGATTCAACTCCGGTTGAGATGGCAGTTTACCTTGATTTTGGGCATCCAAGCGGTTGATTGTTGTGGCCATTTGACTTATCTGATTCCTTATATCCTGTATTTCGGAGTCTGTCCTTTGCTGATATTGCATAACGGTTGCCTCCGTCCTTTGCTGATTTTGCAATATAGTTGCCTCCGTCCTTTGCTGATTTTGCGCCATGGTTGTCATCATTTGTTTCATCATCTCCTCCATAGATGAACCAGATTGAGGGGGCGGAGGTGGTCGGGTTGGTATTGCTGCTGGTACCCTGGTGGCTTATTTGGCACAAAGTTAGACTGCCTGTTCTGTGCAAAGTTGGGTTGCCTATTCCCTCCATAACTGAGGTTGGGATGATCTCTCCACCCGGGGTTGTAGGTGCTCGAGTAAGGGTCGTACTGCTTCCTTGGCGCGGGCGCGTGGTCAGCCATGTTCACCTGTTCTGCAGTTTCTTCCTGAATCATTGGGCATATGTCTGCAGAGTGACCTATACCAGTGCAAATCCCGCATACCCTGGCTTGTGATGCATTTCTCACAGCCTGTTGCCTAACGAATGCAGTCAACTCATTTAGCTGCTGCTGCACAGAGGGTGTCTCTATCTCATTCACCCTACGTATTGGGACATCCTCTCTTATACTGAATTGCTGTGAATTTTCTGCCATCCCCTCTATTAGCTCCCGTGCTTCCTGAGGGGTTTTGTTCACCAGTGCCCCTCCACTTGCAGCATCTATGATGCTCCTGTCTCTAAAAATGAGCCCCTCATAGAAATATTGTATGATCAACTGCTCACTTATTTGGTGATGGGGGCACCTGCGCAACAAGCTCTTATACCGTTCCCAATACTCGTAAAGCGACTCTCCGGGATGCTGCTTGATCCCACAAATTTCTTTCCTTAGGCTTGCAGCCCTGGACGCCGGAAAATATTTATCCAAAATTTTTTCATCAATTGGCCCCACGTGGTGATGCTACCTGGTGACAGGTAGTACAGCCAGTCCTTCGCAGAATCTTTCAAGGAGAAGGGGAATGCCCTCATTTTTATCTGCTCTTCTGTGATTCCCGGGGGTTTCATACTATTGCACACGACGTCAAACTCCTGCAGATGCTTATACGGCTCTTCACCTGGTAAACCATGAAAAGAGGGTAAAAGCTGAATCAGACCAGATTTTAGTTCAAATGGAATGTTGTCATTTAAAGCGGGGAAAGTAATGCACAAAGGCTGCTGAGTTAAATCAGGAGCAGCCAACTCCCTTAATGTTTGTGCATTAGCCATGGTGAACTCCTCCTGGTCAGAGTCACTTGAAGTGTCGCCAAACGAATCTGTTGGGTCAACTCCTGGTTCAGAACTCTCAGATGCAGCACTGTAGTGCTCCTCTCTGAGTTGTCTGGTCTCCTTTCTCGTTCTACGCGCGGTCTTCTCTACCTCAGGGTCAAAAACCAAATCACCTGTGCGAGAAGATCGAGGCATACACTAGAAGAAAACCAGAAAATTAGGACACAAAATGAATTTAAAAAGAAACAAACAATAACGCCAATCCCCGGCAGCGGCGCCAAAAATTGACAGGTCGTCAGCCTGTGCAATAATAGTAATAAATATAGAACCTAACTACCACTAAAAGCAGTCAATAATTAATCCTAGGTACTGGAGCAGGGACTCTAGGTGTGCAATGGGTTACTTGATTCACCCTGTTCCCGAAGAGTTTGCTTAACCCGATATACCAGAATTAATTAATTGACAAAAATTACTAAATAGTAGACAGTGGCAAGTAGGGTCGTCTCCTCAGGGACTGGGGATATCTGTCTCTTTTTAAAGTCCAATTGATAAGGGGGAATTTCACCGGAATGAAACTAAAAACAATTAAACAATTTAATTAAAAATGAATAAATCACTAGCACAAGTAAAACAGGAATTAAATCAAGAATAAATAAATTCTAGCCAAGGATGCAACTACTCAGGCACAGTCCATTTATCCGATCATTGATGCAGGAGAGGTTCACTTAATTTATTAATAGGCTAGTTATAGTCTGATGACCAATTTTTCCTTAAATTATTGATAACCAAGGTACGACCGTTGATTACCCCTAATCAGCAAATACTCCTAGGTACGACCATAGGAATTAATTTCCCAATTGCATTAATATTAGAAAAACCTAACCCTAACCAATAACACGCTACGAGGGTTATTTAAATTAGATTGCACGTTCCCCTAATGTGTAAACACACCAGTTGCCACTAATATTATTCAATCAAACAATTACGGATTTAATTGACTAAATTGGCACGAGATTAATAAATCACATTGAACATCGGGCCCTTGACATTCAATTAATAAAATAATCCCATGAAAATACAAGCAGGCAATGTGCAAATATGAATAAATTAAGGAACGCGTGAAAATTAATTAGATCTCACAGATTTTCGGGACTGCGCCGTCGAGTTGACCCTTGACTAGATGGAAGACTTAGCCACGCCGCATAATTAAATCATCACACGAGTTAATAAATTGCGAAGGCATTGTTTTGTACTAAAAAGTAAGGAATGAAGGATGTTTTCCCCGTTGGGGAATATTGTCAAACACCTGGCGTGTGTCAGAGGCCAGTCCTAGGAAAAGAAAGGAAAACTAAAAACTGAACTAAAGCAAAAGAACTAAAAGCTGGCCCCCGGACTGCTTCCGTCCGTTTCCTACTTATAGAGAAACATAAAGGAAGTTGACTCCCAGCTACCTAGTCTGCGGTCCCACCACCATTCGGGAGCAAGCAAAAGATTGCAAGGAAAAAGCTTCTCCTCGTCCGTTTCTCTCAAGAGCCCAATTGAAGAAAAGGCTTTTTTTCCCTCGTGGTCCCCGCTGATGTCCTTCTTGAAAGCCAAAGGAGATTACTCCTCCTTTCTCCCGTAGGACTTGAGCCAATGAAGTACACAAGGTGGGCCCTCAGCCCAATTGTCTTTTGTTCCCTTCCTTTATAGTAGTTTTCTGCTCTGCTCCTGAAATTGATTCCAAATACCAAATGTAAATAAATATCCGCAATTAACACAATATTTGTCAGGGATAAAAGGGGAAATTAATAATAAAATTGCTAACAAATTATACCCTATCACTCAAGTACCCAAACATTTTTGGCTTAACGACCCCCTCATTCTGCTCTTCTTTCCTTGCTAGTGCAACTGGTCTATTTAAGAAGCGCATGAAACAACAAATCAAATTACTATGGGCTTTGCTAAATTTACAGGTCTCATCTCTCTCCCAGTCTTATGTAAAACAAAATTGAAGTTTTTATAGTTTTGAAACTAGAAGAACAAATGAGATGCTTGAACTGCAAAACCAGAAAGAATTCTTTTGTACTTAAAAAAAAAAAAAAACCACCCACGAAATATGCTACTTTTGAGGAGCAATCTAATTTGCTAACTCAATTCTCAAACAAGAAATATGAAAAATGTATATATTTCCACGAGAGATGTTCACCATTCCCCGGAAACCCATTCCAACATTATATGCTCACACATATAACCTAGGACATTAATTATGATCTAGCACGAAACCAATTTCCCCTGATCACTTATTTGAGCAAAAACATCAACAAATCGAAACCAATCTACTTTTCTTTCGCTTACTCACATAGCGATCTCAAAGGGAGAATGTTTTCCACATGATGAGTAGCAGCAGCATCTCCAATGTTTTCCACCTGATCACTGGCAGCGACATGACCTAACACTGGATCCCAGTTGGTTGTTTCTACAGGCAGCCTGGGCAGAGTTAGCGTAGAAGTTGTCCTACTCTTTCCTGTTTCCATATCATAAAACTCTGATCTGCTGTGCTTCTCTTCTTCCATACGAAAATACCATGGTTTTCTTCGCTTGAGTACTGTTAGCATGACTTCGCCCGTGTTCGTGGTGCCGATTATTCTATCAACGCAGTCCCAGTAACCCAAAAATGAATCCTTAAAATATTTTTCATCCTTCACCCACACCTGATCAGCCTTGTTCAGCGACCAAGACATCCAATTTCTGCTTTTGTTGTCAATGCTCAAGAAAGCTACATTCATCCCAAGTTGGATCAGTGAAGTAGTTGTTCCTTCAGTGCCATCAGTTTCAGGAGGAGCAGCAACAGCTCCAAATTTCTCCTCTCCAATATCAAAATATAGTACAACTTTTTCGCCACTGATGAACGTTTTATCCTTCCAATATATTGCTCCATCAACTGAAATTGTGGTTCCACTTAGTATTGGAGGTTCCGGACAATCTATAGCCCTCCATGATTTGGATCCAATTGTAAGAATGAGACATTCTATTATGATATTTGTTCTTGTATCTTTATGGAAATAGAGCAATTTATACTTCTTGGTGACAGGATCGAATCCTAGGTGATAATGGGGCCGATGTAACTGACGATATCCGAAAACATGACATCGTTTCCCAGGCGGAAGGGCTATTTTTTCCCCAGTAGTGACGTTAAGGAGGTGAAGGAGCCCAAGATTATTGGGACTGCACAAACAGACTAGGCCATTGACAACGTTAGTGCAAGGTATGAATCTTGGGTACAATTTATGGACAGGAAGTTGATTGGAAAGGCTTGCTTTTTCAGAATTTGTTGGAAAAAGTGCTAATGCTTTGTAATTAGGTCTAAACAGATAGAACAAAATATGGGAAGCATCAGGCCTGGTCTGGGATCGGATATGGTGGCAATCCGCGAAACAAGGATCGCAAATTAGGGAATTCCATGACTTGCAAACGCTTTTGAATCTCATCAGTGATTTGGCTGAGAGTCTTTTAAGGATGTTGAAGGTCACATCATCTGGGATGTGAAGTCTTGAAACCCTTGATCCCTTAATCTTTTCCATGTTGCTCTGCACGACCTTTCTCTGTTAAGAGCAGGTGCTGTTTTTGATGGACCCAAATCTATTAATAAACAAACATATACCCACAGGAATAATCAAGAAAAGAATTGATATGAGAGGCGAAGTAACATTTTTTTCACTTGTTCTTAAAAGGAAGCTGCGGCAATAGCGATGCCATCATAAACGAGGCTATGACACAAAAACTGAGGCTTTATACCTAAACAGCCCTATGCAGCTTCAATTAATTACGGTTGACCACGTACCCATCGGAAAGGGGACAAGGATGGTACCAGTTCACTCAATCAATCCAGGAAAAGGATTCATCTATTTAAACCGAATGTAAAATTCTTTTTTTAATCATATAAATCACTTTAAACAAAATGTAAATTTGAAACAAATTTTGATAGTCCCACACATATGATGAACAAGACGTAATCTATATCTTACTCCTTTTTTTTGGGCAAATTCCACTTTACCCTTATGTGATTAGTATTTTTTTATATAACCTCCTATGATTTCAAAAGTTATACATAACCCTTATGTTCTGGTTTAAAGTATCAAAATAACGGAAATAGTCATTCGTAACGAAACTTTTTAAAATGTCGAAATTACCTTTATAAATAAGTGTGACACACTAACCCCGTATGATTTTTATGTTTTACCATATAATCCCTTTATGATTTTCAAAATATACATGTAAACCTCCCTTGATTAATAAATAATTTTTAACTTTACATAAGAGTATTTTTTATATTTTAGGTGACTCCATTACGAATGATCATTTCTGTCACTTTGACACTTTAATCCAAATCATGAGGGGGTTATGTATAGTTTTTGAAACTATAAGGAGATTATGTAAAAAAAACTAAATTACAAGGAATAAAGTGAAATTTGCCCCTTTTTTTTTGGCGAATCTTCACCGTTAACCTTCAAGAACTGTACCCTTCCTACCCCTCATTCCTATCCAACCAGCAAAGCAGCCAACTTTATAAACCAATAGGCTAATGGCACAGGGCCCCAGCTAAGTGAAACAAACAGAGACTCTAAAGCTTGGTCTAATAATTTCCTATTGTTACACTTACTCTATAAAGCTTGGTTTAATAACCTCCTACAGTTTTAGCTTCGCATTGTATTAGTATTCTTTTTTCATGGTAGGTAGGGTTCTTCTTAGGCAAATTTAGGGGCAACAATCATGAACATGTTGAATGCTGAAAAGACTAGTTGAATTACATTATAGTGATTAGTGAAGGAACTAAAACATACAAAAATTTTGGTAATTGGACTACTCTGTCCACTTGGGTTGAATCATTAGTATTTATCAATACTAGTCTGTCCTTAATGTGTGTGTGCATGTGCGTGTGTTGTTTAATTGTTAATAGTCTTAATTGCAAATTGTCCCATATTAACATATGTTGAATAGTAAATTGTCCCCTGTAATCAGAAAACATGTAAATTACCTTAAATTTTATTCTTAAGAAATGATATTATTATCCTTAAATTACATGTAAATAAATGCATTAGAATGTTAGTTTTCATAGATATTAAAATAAATACTTTAAAACTACAATATTGAAACATTAGTTTTTTCAATTGGTAGGAAAGACGACAAAAAATAAAAGATAGTCTTTTTCTAAGAATTTCTAAAATTACTTCACATTAGTACTTACTTTACTAGTTTTTATAAGTACAATGGCCAGTTACAAGAATTTGAAGCCTACATGCAACAATTTTTATAGTAGTTCCTACAATAAACTTAAATTATAAAACTAGAATTCTCTTTTTCTTTCACTACCTTATGTTTCAATTGTTATTGTTATATTATCATCTAATTATAACTTATTTAACAAAGATATGCCATTGAGGCTATGGTCATGTTGTGTCAATATAAAATATTTTAATTAATAGTGAGAAACAATAATATATATGTATTACTAAATTTGGGACTAACTATGCAAAAGAAAAGAAATATATGAATCATATAATATGATATATTATTAGCATGAGTAAATGAAATTAAAATAAAAATAAGAAGAAAAGAAGTTTAATTAGAATTCTCACTATTCATTTAATACTATTTCATTCTAATTGCACCTCAATTCATGCTAACACTCTTAATATCACTATTTAAAAATTAAGAAAATATAATGATTTAAAATCAAAATATTAGTAACCAAAAGGGTAATGTCAAAGTTGCTGACCAATGGTAATTTGATATTGACAGTTAGTCATTGTTCCATTTTTTTTTTTAGTTGTCTTAAATTTGCTAAAATTACAAACTTTAAGAACTAGATTTGTTTTGACCGAAATATTGAAGATCAATTTGGCACATAGACTAAATATTGGGGACCAAACCTACAATTCTCCCTTTTGGAATCAACAAGTGGAGCATCTAAGCAGGTGAAAGATAATCCCACCTACACAAAGAAAATTACGCTCCAGTTTTGGACCCAGACATAATTACACAATCCATGTTGATCATTAATTGGCACATGCCTAAGCCTGCATTTTAGTTTCTAATAATGAAAAAGTGGAACATAAAAAAATATGAAATTTTATAGCAACAGAAAATCTACATCGTCTTCTTTGCAAAAAGAACGTAAATTTTAGTTGAAAGATATGAGTTTAATATAGTTGACAATGTCTGTACATATTCATCAATCACAAATTAGCATTACTAAATTCAAATACAATATGACATACTTCATCGTGTTATACGCATGCAATTAGCTTTTTCTTGAATTTGGTGAGATTAGAAAGCAGAGAGGAAACATGGAGATTAGAATCTAAGATTTCTAATTCCTGATATATGTAATGAACTTAATAGTGCTATGCGGGTGCAATTAACTTTATGATTACTACATTCTTGCAATCAAACACTTATTTGACCATAATTCATGTCATTTTCTACTTAAAATTGTCAACTATCTATAGTTATTGTGACGAAATGCTACAGTGAATTGACAAGTTATAGTTCTATAAAAAAAAAATATGTATCAGTTATACTAGAACATTAAAGTCTGCGAAAAATGTACAGCAGCCGTCCCATGTAATGAGTAAAATACATTATAATAACAAATTAAGAACTCAAGGAAAAGACAATTCAAAAAATTTGAATCTTTCACCCATGGACTTTTCAATGATGAATGATGACAAACAACTATTTGGCCAAACTTCGTGCAGATAACATACAAGTGGTGGAAAATTGTTTGAGAAAGTGTGGTACTAAGAAAAGTGGGATTTTGGTTCCTGTATTTTGTTCAAATATCCTTTCTTTATTTTATCAAAAAAATTTATGAACACAAAAATCACTTGTTATAGCTTTTTTTTTTTTCTAGGAATCTTTTTTGTTCTTTAGTTTCCAAATAAGTGTGAGCCAATCATTAAATTTCTTCAATATATGAGACTCACCTGTGTTGAGTTCCATCTATTTCAGCCAAAAAATAAACAAAGTGATCCGGTTATTAACTTATGAGAGTTTAATAAGTCAATTAACATGAAATTACAGTATAGTAAATAGGCATATCAATGGATCGGATCTTACCCAGATCCAACATAGACCTAGTATGCTTTGATAGGTTTTGGATTTAATTTCTCAAACCCAGACCCGTGTAGAAGAGTTGTGGGTTCATGTAGGATCTAATTTTCTATGATCTATCTCCAAATCCAAGCCCATGCCAGATCCTATTTAGATGCATGTACACACACACACACACACACAATATTCTATGATTATTGGATCGAATTTAGTAAGACTTCATGATTTTTTTTCAATCTAATCCTAGTTGTCATTGTAATTAGTACAAACTTTTTCAAAAAAAAAAAAGGGACAAAAAGTTAAGGACAAGAAAATAAACAAAGTGATCCGGTTATTAACTTTTAAGAGTTTAATAATTCAATTAACATGAAATTACAGTATAGTGAACGAAATAAAACATCCAAATCAGCTTGGCTGCTGGTGACGCCTTCTGCTAGCTACTTTTTATGTGCATGCATGTACGTTCGTTATTTCATTGTTAATATTACCCTATTGTACGTACTACATATTGTGACAATTAACTTGAAACTTAACGAATTCCATTGAATAGACACAGAAATTGACAATATAACAGCCAGAAGAATGAAAGAGACAACATTTTGAAATCAACAAGTGGAGCATGTAAGAAAGTACAGGACCACCTTGACCATTTATTGGCAAATGATTCGTTTCCAATAACGAATAAGTGGGACATGCAAAATACGAATTTTTGTATCAATACAAAATCTACAACCTCATCTTAACTTAAAAGTTTGGCTGAAAGATAAGAGTTAATTAGTATAGAGTTGACAATGTATGTACATATATTCATATGTCATACTTTGAACGGTTATGAGAATGCAATTAACTTTACGATTACTTCATTCTTGTAATTTAAATACTCAGTCAACTGTGGTTTAAGGCACTTTTTTTAAGTGTATATTATGAACTACCTGCAGTTATTGTGACGAAATACTAAAGTTTTTCACAAGTTATAATTCTATATATATATATATATATATATATATAAATCTAGCGGTCATGCAAAAAAATTAAATTTTTTTGAAAATTTGTATAGAACCTGTCCCAAGTAACTAGTAAAAAAGCTTATAATAACAAATAAAAAAAAAAAAAGCCAAACAAAAGAATATTCAAAAAACTTGACCCAAAAACTTTTCAATGATGCATTCTTGGGGTCAAACATTATATGGCCACACTTCGTCCAGATAACATACAAGTGGTGGAAAATAGATTTTAAAAAATCATACTAAGAAAAATGGGATTTTGTTTCCTATATGTGTACATCTGCTTTGTTCAAATATCCCTATCCAAATTAAGTCAAGACAAGCCAACAATTTCTTCTTAAAAGCAATATATATATATATATATATATATATATATATATATATATGATGCCAACAACTTGGAGAAAATATTTCTGAGAAATTTCTGCTCTGGCGGCTTATTGCCCAAAATTCCCAATATATATATATGATGCCAACAACTTGGAGAAAATATTTCTGAGAAATTTCTGCTCTGGCGGCTTATTGCCCAAAATTCCCATTCTCAACACCCATATAAATTTCAAGGTTTAGCAAACTACAACAACCCCAAAAAGGTCATCAAAAATTCAAAAACAGTACCTCCCAACTTTGTCCATTTTCTTCCACAATGTATAACTCATTTTTCAGTTCAAGCACAAGTGAGCAAAGATGGGTGGATCAATTCAACAAGCATTTCATCATATATATTGGCAACAGACCTTCCATCTTTAGAGTCCCCAGCAAAGTATTGGAGACAAAGCCAGAAGCCTATGTCCCTCGGCAATTAGGCTTAGGAGCATATCATCATTTTCGGCCCGAGCTCGATGATGACATGGAGAGCAAAAAGCTTGAGCAGATCAAGAAATTCTTGAAGCCTGAGCAGTACAACAATTTCAAAAACTTAATTGTCGATGAGGTGAAAGAACTCGAGCAGCCTATACGCGCATGCTACAACAATTACGTGGATCTTGATCGCGATACTTTGGCTTGGATCATGGCTATTGATGGTACATACTTACTTTACCTGTTAAGCACTTCTAAATCTATTAACAGGCGTTTATCTGATGATGTACTGAAGCTTGAGAATCAAATCCCGGCAATTGTGTTGAAGAAAATCAACAATGTTTTACGTGTAACTAAAGGCGATGAGATCAACTCGAGTAAACCATTGTTTTCAGAGTTTCACAACTTCTACAATACACAATCTCCCCTTGAATTGTGCAGTGAAAGTCAGATTGACCTTGATCATGCCACTAGTAATCATCTTTTAGATTCTTTGTATCAGTTGACAATGAAGAATTGGAATTTGCCTGATTTTGTATTTAGCCCAAGTAAAAACACACAAGAAAATGCTGGATCATCAGCAATTCAGTTATCTTTGGGGCAAAGTGGAAACCAACCATTGAATCCTTCTCAGAGCTCGACCACAACCATAGGCCTTACGGAGTCATTGATCCCCACTGACGAAGAACCCAATCAATTACTTCAGCAAGCTGCAACTCTCTTAGCTAATTTAACAGGGCAAAAGCCCCTTATGCTGATGGCAAAGTTGCCACTGCACGAGGGAATGGAGCTTTTCAATCTTTTCAAGAAGGTTATCCCAGTTAACACTGTGGAGGAAATCAAAATTCCTTCAGTGACACAACTACATCAAATTACCAGAATAGACTTCCGAAAATGGACACAGCAGGGCATTGGAATTAAGTACAATGAGGGTGAAAACGTACTTTACCTACCCATCATGAAGTTGAACACTAATTCAGAAGTGATTTTGAGAAATCTCAAGGCCTATGAAGAAGCCTCAGCCAGCCCTGGTTCAAGTATCAAATTTTCAGAATATTTGGATTTTATGTGTGGCATAATTGATACTGCTAAGGATGTGAAATTTTTGAAGGAAAGGGCAATTATAGATAGCAAAATGGGAAATCAAGAAATTGCTGATTTATTTAATGGGATACAAAAATCCAGTAGGTCAGATGAGCAGAAGGATGGAATAGAATTGACCATTGATGAATTGAATAGAGGATATGATGATTCATTCAGGATCAAAATTTGGACTTTTCTGAGGCAACATTTTAGACCATCAGAAGTTTGTGTCAGAATTTTTCTTTACGTATTAATAGTGGTGCTGCTAGCTTTTCAAGCTTTTTGCGATGTCTATGGCTGCAGTTCTCGCTGGTTTGGCAAGAAGTCATAGCATCTTTGAGCCTGCTTCTTTCTCTTATAGAAATTTTTTTATTGCCTTTTCCCACCTTGGTATTTTATTATCCTTTTCTTGTATTTTGGTTATAGGTTGTGAATGGACAGTTTCCTTGGCAGTTTCTGTTACTGGCACAAAAAAAGGTTGTAAACGGTTTCTGTTAATAAGGGTCGAGTACACAACGCTTCAAAACCTCTATCTCCAAATTACTTCTGTTCCGTTTGTCTCGTGTTTAAGAGCTGTCATGCGTATTGATGCATTGATAACTCAAAATAAATTAATACAAACTCAATCAAAAAGTGAAAGGTTTGCTTGAGTTATCAATGCAATCAAAACACGTAACAACTATGTAAACACAGGATAGACAGGTAATTTCAGGACAAACGATTCCAAGCGAGTACACAACAAATAACACCCTCCCCTCCCCCCCCCCCCCCCCCCAAAAAAATTATAAGTTTGGCGTTTAGCAGCTTGATTTCTTAATCTTTCTTCTGAATGGCAAATCTTTAAGTTCAATTCTTTAACTAGATTTTTATATATATAAAAGCATAACTTCATTGCCATAAATCTGCGCTCATAGCTGAACATCCAATAACGTGCCACAAATATGTCAACATAAATTTAATTCTAGGGAGAATTACAATTTTGGTCTCTAATGTTTGGTTGATGTTCTAAATTAGTTCCTAATGTTTCAACCAAAGCAAATGTGGCCCTTAGAGTTTCTAATTTTATGCAAGTTTAGGACAATTAACGACAAATTACAAAATATGACAATCAAATCAAATTGGAGTTAGTCAAAAGTTTTAATTTTGCATTTTTGGTCCATAATTTTTGAAATTTTGATCAATATGGTCCTTTTATGTTTCAAATGGTTATATTTAAGGTTTTCAAAGAAGTAAAATATTAACTAAAATGCATGATAAATGTGTTCTAAAATCCTATAAAAATTGCTAAAAACACTTCACATTGACGCAACACAATCTTTTAGCCTAAAAAACATTTCTTTGTAGAATTAAGTACAATTGAATAATGATACATGGATAATATCTTAAAAAATTAATGAAACATAGAGAATCCTAATTTTTAGTATATAACTTTATTCTAACACTATTATATAAATAATAGCATGATTTGTGGAGGTAGGCTTCAATCGGTTATGGTTAAGATTCATGATTACATTAATGTGTAAAAGTAATTACCGTGTGAAGTACAAAGAGACCTTCTCGCAAAGCCAATTGAAAAGACTGCTTGCTGTTTTTTCTTATCTTTCCTTCTAAATTAAGTATTTCAATAATAAAATTTAATATGTGTGTGTGTGTATGTATATTCACCTACAACATTGATTATATTAAAGTATTTAAACAATTATATAAAATATCTACTCATTTGAGACTTAATTGATAACTAATTGAAATGCCAAAAAAATCTAAAAGGAAAAATTGTTTTTCAATCACCTTAATTTACATATAGTTGCATTTTAAGGGATATTAAATTGAGTGCTTAATTATCAATATAAGTGAAATTGGTAAAATCCATTTTCAATTGATTATTGATATGATTAGATATATTTTGCAAAATTTGAGATCAACTATACAAAAGATAAGAAATATATTAGAAATTAGTAATATAACTAATGAAATAAAGAAACAAAAAATGAAGAAGAAAGGTTTATTTTTTTTTCATACTTTTTGATAATAAAATTTTTAGTAAATATGGCACATTTTCAACACAATTCATATTTAGTTTCATCCTAAAACCCTCAATGTTACTATTCCAAACTTAAGGGACTATAATGATTTGAATTACAAACTTTGAAGACTCAAAATACAAATTCAAAAATAGTTGACTAACGGAAATATGATTTTGACCGTTAGGAATGGTTGAATTTCTGTCAATTGTCTTAAATCTACTGAAAATTAAAAATTTTGGAGACCACATTTATTTTGGTTAAACATTAGGGTCCAATTCAGCATATAGGCCGAACATTGGGAATCAAAACTGCATTTCTCTCGTAATTCTTTAACCAATAAGGTATGAACATTGCACGTCCCGAGCATTTTTGGGTGAACTTTGAGACCTACTATTTTTCACGCCCATTTTCAAGTCTTGAACTTTTCCATTTATTAAAGTATTTCTCAAGATTTTATTAGGCCCATATTTTAAGTGCCAGCCCTTTTTCAAATTCAAGTAATTTTTCAGCAGACTAAAGAGCAACTACCTGAAGAAACTTGTCCAACCAAATTAACAAGACAACATCATTCTACTTGCATTTCACAAGTCCCAACCAATCAAATCAAAAAAAAAAAAAAAGGCATGAGGCCTAAAAGGCCCCTTAACCATCTAAACTTCAACGCATTACAAAGCCCAAAAATATTTGTAAGACCAAAAAGGAACATGCACAAGAGTAGAAAAGCTCAGTGAAACAGCTCCATCCCACAGAAGTTGAGGAAGAAATTGATTCAACTATGGTGGTTTCTTCATCCACCCCAGTTGGTATATCTTTCTCCCTCTTTATTGCTAGGGGTGGCAATCGGGTCCAAATCAGATTGGCGGGTTGGATTGAAACCTGGATATAACAGAAAATCTGCTGACCCGAACCTGACCCGTCAACTCGAAACTGGGTCAGGATACCTGACCCGAGCTCAAAATATTCGGGTTGACGGGTCGACCCAAATGACCCAAAACTTAATTTTAATTTATTAATTTATCATTGTAATTTCTAATAAAACTAATTTTGCACAAGACTAATTACATAATCAAGTAATAAAATTTAAATAAATAATCCCAAACCAAATCTAAAATAAATTAAAACACCGTAAAAGTGTTTTATCACAAATCAAATATAAAATAAATTAAAACAATATAAAAGTAAAAAATAATATATTATATTATTTGTCCAAATATAATAATTTCAACTTCACACAAGTTAAATAAATTCATTTAAGATTAAGTGATTAATACCTTTGGAAAAAAACGAATAACTTAGTTTAGTTAGATAAAATAATTTTTTATATTTATAAAATTATTTTTAATTCGTAAACGGGTTATCGGGTTGACCTGAATTTGACCCGTTTTCTTTTCGAATTCGATCCGATTTTGACCCGAACCCGCGAAACCTCAAATAAAACCCATTAATTTTATGTTAGATTCGTGTCATGTTTTTAGGTCATATCAGAAATTGCCACCCCTACTCTCCTTGTCACGTACTCAGGATTAACATATTGAATGGTACATTTTTTTGCTAAGAAAGGAAAGGATGAAGCAATGATCAGCTGGGGAAAAAAATTATTGTAGAACTTTGCCATTCTTTACTTTCCTTCCTTTTTTTTTCCTTTTTTTTTGGACTTTCTTGTTTTTGCGTTGCCTATCATTTTGTTTTCTTTTTCTAATCTACATTTTAGTGATTTATATTTTAAAAACTAAAGTTTTCTTTATTATTGTTGTTTATCAACATAAGTAGATAAAATGCTAATTGGATTCAGCCCGATTCCTTCGTCATTCTCGTCCTAGCATGTGGGTTGAAGGTGTTATGTTGTTCGCGCATCGCGCTTTGGTTTCCAATCTCGTGTTTCTCTACTTCGACCTCCCACTTGACGATTAAAAAAGGCGTTATTGTTTGGGCATTGCGCTTAGGTTTCCTACGCTTCCCATATGCCCCTGTTTCCTTGTTTCTGTGCTTCTGCTGCTTTCGCTTTCTTCCCACAAGTTCCCTACAGAATTTGATAGACACTATGGGAGGAAATGAGCCAAAGAAGGTAGTTGTCCTATTGTCCTACTTTCTGCACTGCATTTGTCTATTAGCTGAAATAGGTATCTGACCAGTGGACACTAGAGAAAACTAGTACAAAATTAGTTAATCATATTCCCTACCACAAATTAAAATTTTAACCGTATATCTTAAGTATTTTTAATGCATGATTTAGTCGTAGATTAGGTCTAGTTATGATTAATAGTACCAAAGGGTAATGAAAAAAAATTGGGATTGTGGAACTAGTGCTCAATGAGCATTTTACTTGTTTCTACGCAATTAAATCTCAGGAACAATAATGAACCCCTATAGTTCCCTTGTTTGGTTAACTCTGAAGATCAACTAGATGTGGTAAAACTTTTTTTACATTTAGGTATTTCACCTTATTCATTCACAAGCTTGATCCCATGAGCAAAAGCGTGAATGATTCATGATTAAGCACGAAGAGGTTGTGCCCATATAGAGGTAGAAATTTTTTAGGAAAGAGTGGTTAATCTGTATTCAGACAAGAAAAAGGTAGATTAGAATTTCTAATCAAAACAATGGGAACAAAAACTGATTCTTTGCAATGTTTTGAAAGGTCAAAAAGCTAATTACATGCTTTTGCATCACGACATATTAATTAAGCCACAACCTGAGGAAATACTCAGCAATCATCAACGAGATGAATGATTTAATTCTTGGTTCAAGTTTAAGCTAGAAACGCTGGGTTGATCGGGTCAGGAAAGAGCTCAAGATAGACATTGACATCCCTCATTGTGCTTTTGGAGTTCCCAAAAGTTCAGGTGACACAAAACTAGAAGCTTATGTCCCTCAGCGAATTGGTATAGGAACCTATCATAGTTTGCGCCTAGAGCATTATTGAATGCAGAAACAGAAGATTGCTGTAGCAAAAAAGTCTGTTCAGCCAGAAATACTTGATAATTTTGAAGAACTTTGATTAATAAGCTGAAAACGATTGAGCCCTCCATCCGAGCATGCTATAACAGGGACCTGGACCTTAATGGTGATACTTTAGCATGGATAATGGCAATTGATGGTATGTATTTGCTTCAGTTTTTGAGTGCCTATGAGTGTAGTAATTCAGGGAATGAAGTTGATTCTGCTTTTGAGAGATTGACAAAGGATAACTTAATGCCCGAGAACCAAATTCCAGCCCTTGTACTCGAGGAAATCCAGAGGGCTCTCATGTTCCCTGATTAACTTAAGCACAGCTATCTATCCTCTGTACATCTTTGCCATTGCATCTTCAGGTTTAAAATTTTGGCAATCATAGTATTGGTTTTTTAATTGACCATCTATAAATTATATACTGGAGTAATTCTATCCAATTACATGGTTCTAGTAAATTAACAAAATAATCTGTTGAAATTTGTTTAGTGAAAGGGCTTATTAGCTAAGTTTTTTTTTTTTAATCTCTGCATCAAGAAACTGATTGAACTGAGTTTCCTCGAGATCTATTTTACATCCAAATTCATAAAACGAATGCAACTTCACTAGCATAGATGCTAAGTCTGAAATATTCATATTAACGAGTTGATAAGTAGTAATGCACATAGCAGGAGATAGATATTAGTGTCAAAGTTACTACTTTTATTTCAATTTTTATTTCTAGGAGGGGAACACAGGATTTAAGAAGCGGGGAAGTGATAGAGGAATTAGAACCCAGACCTCAAATTCCTAGATCTCAAGTCACCATTAAATTCTATGTCTGATTGCATTTTTCTGTTAAGCTCAAAACCATTCAAAACCAGTCTGTTGGCTGAGATCACTCGTGATCAAATGGAAGGAGCATTTTTACTAGTCAATTCAACATTGCAACTTGTCCAGCAATATCTGTCTCTCTACATAGAAGTATAAACAAAATTAAAGAATCATTTTTCGCCACGTAAACTAATCTACTAAAAATGAGAAAGTACGTATTGAAAATTTTTTTAGCATCTGCAATAGAATGAAACTTAAAATAATGGAAGATACTAGAAAAGGTCAATGCAAAGAAACAAAATCCAATTTGGGTGGTGATTCAGAAAAGTCCAAAATCAAGGTGATTTGTCCTTCATGTCATATATACCAGGGTTATATATTGCAACCTCTTGCCAAAATTCAAATTGATGACTTGTTCTTTTAGGAGTTCATATATACCAGGGTTGTATTTTGCAACTTCCGAATTTCCCAAGTCTGCAACTCTAAAATGGAAGAAGCTGGTGGGGTAAAGCTCTTCGGATTCTGGGTAAGCCCATTTGCTCAAAGGGTGAAGTGGGCACTGAAGCTAAAAGGCATTCAGTATGAATACATAGAAGAAGATAAATACAATAAGAGCCCTTTGCTGTTGAAATTGAACCCTGTTTATGGAAAGGTTCCTGTTCTTGTTCACAATGGAAAGCCAATTTCAGAATCCATAATCATTCTTGAATACATTGATGAGGTGTGGAAACAGGCTCCCCTGTTGCCTCAAGATCCTTATGAAAGAGCCCAAGCACACTTTTGGGCTAAATTTGCTGAAGAGAAGGTATTGATTACTTATTTATTACTGGCAACTTGTTCCTTAGACGTGCCTTATTAAATTCTAACGAAGGCATTTTCCTGTAAAAGATATGCATGAAGTTTATTGAATTATTATTGCTTAATCTTGTCTGCATGAACAATATCAATATACATATACTAACAGATTTGAATACATAACAATTAGCCTCAATTACTTAGACTACACGGTCTACTAGCATATTTGTAGACCTCACGAGGCTTGTTGTACAAACTTTCAATATAGTTCTAATATTTTAACCATTTTATTGCAACATTTCCAAATTTTTCTTTTCCTTATTTAACAGGTTATGTTTGAAGTATTTGATTGAACCTCTCTATACTATACTCTATTACCGATTTGTTTTACAAAGTGGCTCCTATTGTGGCCTAAATTTGTGCGGTAGCATTAAAATCTGATAACCCCTTATTTCGGTTTCAAGCCTAATTTCATGGCTGTTGTGTGATGTCCAGGTTAGACAATCTGTGGTGGAAGCTATGTGTTCTAGTGGTGATGAAAAGCAGAAGGCAGTAAAATTAGCAGTGGAGGCGTTTGAAGAGTTTGAAAAGGAGCTAAAACGAAGAGGGACAAAGTTCTTTGGAGGGGAAACAATTGGTTTTGTGGATATTGTAGCTGGCTGTATTTCTTATCAACTGCCCGTGCATGAGGAAGTTGGATCCCTCAAGATTCTTGACTCATCAAAGTTCCCAGCCATTTCTGAGTGGACCAGAAATTTTCTCAACCATCCACTGATTAATGAAGGTTTACCACAAAAAGATCAGATGTTTGCTTATTACTCCAAACGTAGCAAAGAAATAGCTTATCAGAAAATGTCTCACAAGACTGTTTAGGAAAAGTTGAATCATTTCCAGAGATTTCTGGCCGTGTTTTGTCCATTGGAATAAGACAATGTCCTATGTGTTGTAACACATTACCCTACTACTAGATTAATGATGTATTATTGTATTTTAATCTGTGTATATTGTCTATTATTTTATTTTAATCCGTACTTCATTGTTTTGTATAATAAATTACAATAAAATGATACGTTATGATGTGATTGGGAATATAAATTAAGCCACTATTGGCGTGAAATATATTCTTGTACAAATATATTGGTGAAAACGAGTATTGAACTTGTAATTAGTAGTTATTTTCTCCTTTTTCTTTTCATAATGTTGTTTGGTCCAAGTATTAACGGGATGTATTGGTGGGTGGTACCAGAATACATTAGTAGTTTAATTGCCATGCGCTTTCTCATATGAGACCCCCCGGTCTCCACAAACAAAAAAAGGACGAAATAGTATGCAGGTTTTTTTTTTTTTTGGGTGCTGGATTAACTGAAAATATATGGAAGCAACATATAGGACAGGTAAATGCCAAAACAAAAACTCAATCCAATCGAATTAGAAATTTTTTTTACCCTTAATGTCCAAAGTAAAAAGTAAATATTGCATAAAATGGTCAAAAGCATAAATATTATAATTGTGATGTCGTCATGCATGATGCGTCTCCATGAGCCTAAATGGTCAAATATGACGATTACAGTCTTAGCTCTTCCAACAAGACTATTCAATACCAGTACCCAACTATTGCAAGACTACAATTCTAATTGGAAGAGAATCAGGCCGGAAGTGAAGCTCTTGGGATTTTGGGTGAGCCCATATGCTCTAAGGGTGAAGTGGGCACTGAAATTAAAAGGATTAGAGTATGGATACATTGAACACTCTTGAAGCTGAGTCCTGTTCATGAACAAGTTCCTGTGCTAGCTCATGATTGAAAACCAATATCAGAGTCAATTGTGATCCGAGAATTTACTGATGTAAGTGTGGAAACAGTCGTCCTTTGGATTGGCTCAGATGGTCTTGAAATAATTTACTTAGATCTCGAAATGGTGTGTTTGAGTCACCTCTTTATACCTTGTGTATCTTTGGAGGGCGGGCGCACAAGCGCAAAGAGATTAGTTTGACACAAAGATTTAAAAAAAAAAAAAAAAAAGTGTGGAATCAGTCTTTTTTTGCCTCAACATCCTTATGAAAGAGCCAATTCTCGCTTCTGGGTTAGATTTGCTGCGGAAAAGGTAACCTGTTTGCATGATGTCTTTGATGATTACTAGAATAACTTCCTTTGTTTGCAACTTAATTTTTTTGATGAAAATCATTTTCAACCTTAGACCAACTCTATTATACTAACTTAATTTGCAACCAAAACTAACTTGCCACTTGATTGATCAATGTAATTGCAAACCAGTTGTCATAATCTGTATCAGATTTTTTATCTGGCAAACAAATATTGTCGTATTTGGAATGTTAATTATCTACTACTTAAAGCATTAGTCCTTTTTCATTAACAGTTTGTTAATTATCAAATTTAGAATATTAAAGACAGCACTATCGTCCGCTATCTTTCATTGTGATAAGCATATAATTTCCAGGCCAAAAGAAAAAAAATTCCAATTAAGATTTGCATTTCAACAAAAATGTTGTATTTTGAGTATGTAAGCACTTGAAATGCATCATTTTAAATACGATTGGATGAAGAAGGATGTTGTCTGGATGTAAGGAACTATTTGTTCAATTTTCCCTTTTAGGATTTTCTATCTTTTCTCTTTCTACATTCCTTACTATGCCTTTGATTCTCTTCATGTTCATGGCTTACTTTGTATGACATATTATGAGTTAGAAGTTCCCCTCTTATGCAATGAAAATTAATAACTTATTAGGCTTTCAGGATCCTGTTTAATGTTAATAAAAATTTGATGCATCTAAGTCTAAATATTATAATGCTTTAGAACTTCTTTCAAACAAATACTAAATATCTTGCTCTACCAGCTGACCAATTTCTTTTCTTTTTCTTTTTTTATTCGGATGAATACTGATTCATCAACTTAAAATGTACCAAAAGATAGTCCTTTTCTTTTGGCAAATAAACAATTATAGTAAAACAATTGTAATAATGTATTTCTAAAAAATTAGCCAAAGTAAAAGAAAAAAAAGGAGAAAGGAAAACAAAATATTCTAAAATATTCGCTGGGCTTCAAGAAATTTTTATATGGATCTTCAAGATAGCAGTGTTTGTTAGGGAGAAACGCTTTGAGAGAAACCATCAAAGAACCTAATATGTAAGTAGGCATGTCAATGGGTTGGATTTTATCCAAATCCAATCTAGACCCAATATATTTGGATAGAATTTGGATTTAATTTCTCAAATCCAGACCCTACCCAGATCCAGACCATATGAGAGAGTCATGGGTTTAGATAGGGTCTGATTTTCTAGAATTCATATCCAAATCCAAATTCATATTAGATCTTATCCAAACTCATATATATTTAATTAAATAATATATATTAGAAAATTTATAAAATAATATAATATTTTATGGCTATTGGATCGAATAAAATAAGATTTTATGGCATCAGAATCTGCATTTAGTGTTGGTGGTTGGGTGATTGATGAGACTCTACCAAATTGCTTCTAGATGTGATTGAAACATTAGTGGCAACTAATGATTGGATTGAATTAAAGAAAAAATGAGTAAGTGTTTATAAATCTTCTTATTCTATTTTATATTTGCTATCAGTCCTTAATCAAATGATTTTTATTTCATTCACTATTTTAGTGCTGGATTGCAAGATATCTACCAACATTGAGGTTTAAATAAGAAAAAGAGGTACAAAATTATATTTTTTTAATAAGACTAGATATTTATATATATTATGATTGTTTTCTTTTTTAAAAACTAATCCTAGTTGTCATTATAATTCGTACAAATTTTTTCAAGAAAAGGTAAAAAGTTAAAGGCAAACAAATGAAATATTGATGTGGATGCAGTTAAATTTTTAAAAACATATAGAAGTAGTCAATAATAATTATTTCTTTGAGTTCAAAATATTGCATTCAATTTGTTGAATGTTAATTTTATTATTTGAAAACAAAAATTGGATGGTATTTCTATTATATATGTACTTTATATATTTTTAATACATTTTTACTTTAGTATTTTTAGAAAATGCCTATGGATGCTTATTGGATACCCAGATCCTTATGGATCTGGGTATGGACTTACTTTTTCAGACTCAAAAGGGTCTGGATCTAACTAAATAAAATGGGTCTGGATCTGAATCAAAGCGATCTCACTCAGACGTTACTCATTGACATGCCTATATGTAAATTAGGAATCCAACTCTAATCTAAAAGATTAAACTATTAGCTTTCGGATCCTTACTTACATATTAACTGCTTTTTCTTCATCTCTCAAATCAGTGTGAGACATAATCCTTTACTGATAAACCTAACAAATCTCTCCCTTCATGAGTAGCCCCTTACATTGAACCTTTGATACCACTTGTTAGGATCCAAGTACAGAACAAACAACTATTGATATATCAAGTACATAACTATTTAATGACAAACAAGTCATAAGCATAAAAGGTAAAACGATACACGATATTTAACGTAGTTCAGTCTACGTCAATGGAGAGAAATCCATTATTTATAAAAAATCCCTATACAAGAATACAATTTGAACCCAAATTCAATCCTTAAATACCATTTCTCATCTCTTAAGAATCTTCTCTCACTCCATGTATAAAACTACATGTCGCCTTTGTGTGTCTCTTGTATGCCTTTTGTATAATATATCAACCCATCTATTTATAAAGTATATTATTTGACCAAGAACCAAATAACAACAGAAAACTAATACTAATTTTTAGATTGGTTCGGAATAGAAAATAACTTCTAATTTCTAAATAAAATAGAAAATTTTTTGGATACTATTTCAAGTAACTAAAACCAATTAAAAAACTAGTTACTTATACATAAAACAAAAAAATCTGCCTAAAAGAAATTAAACCAATTTCCGAACAAATCTCTATCTTAATGAATATTTCTTTTAACAATTATTTGTTTTCAACTACCAAATAATATGGTACCGAATTACATATCCGAACCAATACAGTTCTGATATCGAATTGATTCAATTGACAAATGAACATATGTAGTTACCCTGAGTCTAACCTTCTGTTCACTCGGGAGAAGATATCTCAATACACCATCTCCCTTCGCAAGATTTCTTCTTACCACCACTTGCAACTCGAGATCCCTTTTTGTGAGCTCTATTTTTAACTATTCAGACAACCAAGTGGTAAAATCACCATATGTATTCCCATCTTCAAGACTGTCTCACCATGTGTGGTTCTAAAACTCCACCTGCAACGTAAAACTTTTTGTCATCAGAGTTTTCTGGCATTTGGAAATTAGATTCCTTTGTTTCTTTAGGACATATGTCACTCCACCTAAAGAACATAATTGAAATCTAAAAACCACTATGATGAAGTATCAACCGATAGAGTTGTGAGAAAGTCTCCACTGATTCACATCGAAAATCAATATTGGACTCCACTTTTTTTTTTTTTATCCTTGAATCATCTGCCAAAATTCACCGTCAAGTATCTCTATACTTTTTGGCTTTCTATCATTTACTATCAATGCTTCTTGCCAAGCCATTGAAATAAAGATATCACCCATTAAATTGTTCAATTGGTAATGGCCATCAATCCACTTGATTTCAATAGTCAACCAGGATCCAACCATGAACACTGCTCTGATACCAGTTTATTGAAATTCAAGTGCTTGTGAGCAGTCCAATCTCGCAATCAAGTTCTGATACCACTTGTTAGGGAAAAATGTCTCGAGAGAGCCCATCAAAGAACCCAATATATAAGTTAAGAATTCAACTCTGATCCAAAAAATTAAACTATTAGGTTTCCAATCCTTACTTATATATTAACCGCTCTTTCTTCATTTCTCGAATCAATATGGGATATAAGTCTTTACTCATGAACCTAAC